GTGTGTGTGTGTGTGTGTGTGTGTGTGTGTGTGTGTGTGTGTGTGTGATATACACATGATATATACTTAAGATTGAAAAAAAAAATTCTTAAATACTATCGTAAGTTATTGAAATTATTGTGTAAATTAAGCAACTTATACTAGTTTTACATTGGTGCTACATGCTCATCGGCTCTATGGCGACACGCCCTTATTTACCAACTTATTATCTCTTCAAATAATCATATTTTTAGTTATGGATTTTTACTTATACGTTTTTCATTATTTTAACTACAATATTTAACCTTAAGATTTAAAAAAAAAAATTAAAACATTTTTGTAATATATTTTAAGAAGAAATAATACATATAAAAGTAATTAAGTACGAAAACATCCTACCCCTTATTAAAATTGAAAAGCAATTTCGACCACATTTAGTAATTAAATAAATAAAAATATAATAATTTCTGAAGAATTCTTATATTTTATATTATGCAAATTACACGCCCCATTTTGTTTTGTTAGGCATCTGTGTTGTGGTGATGTGGAGCTCCCTAGTTATTCATCCCCTATTGCAAACCAGTGTTGTTTTTTGTTCTCTTACGTTCGCTCCACTGTACTATTTATTTGTTGTGTGCGTCGTAAAAATGTCGTCAGTTAACGTAGTGTCCGCAGCTTGACAACACGTGTTGTATCATTTGTGTTTTATTTTTACTTGTATAATCTAAAAAGCGAACAAACATTATATATTTTTATTATTTCATTTTAGAATTGTTAATTGTACTAATTAATTTAATTACACTAAAAGAGTTTGAGTCCCTATTTGCATAATGCGTTTTAGTCACGACACAAACTATATCCCATCAGATCATCCTACTCACAATGTACACAACAATATGACTACTGCAGGTTTCAGTGCATCTGATTCTATGCCACAACCTCCGAGTATTGTAAATAATATGTTGTACTACCAAGGTATTTGTTATCTTCTAGTGAAATAGTAAAAGCTGTATAGTTTACTTATTAAAAATCATAAAATAACTCAAATTTATTTTTATTTTACATTATATGAATACATATTTAATATTCATAACTAGGGCTTGGATTTAAATGCATTAAAAATCATATAAAAATGTTCTAAAGAGCAGTTGAATATGTCCTTAAAATATTAAATTTTTTTTTTTAATTTATTCTTTTATTAGACTAATAAATACTATTAAATTATTTGATAATTTGTAATTTTACTAAAAAAAAACTGAAAATTGAAAATGTTGACTTCTGATTGGTGACGATGGTTATGACTGAGGAGCGTATTTGAAGTAAAAAATATCATCTGTTGTTAATTCTCCTGATATGTTTGTTATAGAGGTTTATTTGCCTTCTAAAATGTTTGAAATTGTTTCAATTATAATATAACTAAAATTTATTTTTAAGATATTATCCATATTTTTTTTTTTATTGCTTTTTCATAATTACTTGTTTTATTTAAAGTACAAGATTTGGCATCATATTCAACACCAATTGTCTCAGCTAAAGGTATAACTTTAGGAGTTGTACAGCTTGCTATATTTATATGGTTAGCTTTTATAAATATTAAATTTATTGAAATATTTTTAAGTACGTATTGATTAATCTTGATAAAGTAATTTTTTTGTATAAATGTGTATTTTTCATATTAAAATCTTTATACATTATGTTTTATTAAATTAAATAATAATATCTTCTTAGTGTTAATATACATTTTTTATATTTGATTATACATAAACTTAATAAAATAACAATACGTAACCAAAAAATATTTTGTATTGTTATTATTTTTCATTATTAGTTTATAATAGTTTGGGAATATTGGATTCTTATATGTATTTTTTTAGGAAGACTCATTTACACTCATATTGTAGGGATGGTAAATCCCAGATGTTACAGAGCCAAACATAAACAACCATGTCACCCTTTAAATGTGATAATCATCCCTTTTATATAGAAAGAGGGTCTTGCATTTTGTATGATATGACTCATATATACTATATTTTTATTACACTAACTTCTCTTGTATTCTACTGAAATTAAAATAAATAATATTAAGCCTATGAAATTAAAATCTATGAAAACTTTCAATTTTTTTTTTTTTCTGAAATGTTATACCTTATTATAAAATTTTAAGTATAGAGCTTGTTTTCTTTATTCCTATAAAATGTCTAAAATTGGTTTTGTTACAAAAATTAATTGGTGAATTTTTTTTTTTTTAATTTTCAGCAATTTTTCATTTTTTAAACCAATTTTAAATTCTACTTATTACTAATTTCTATTAAATAAATGGTTAATATATTAAAAAAAATCTGGGCTTAAAACTTGTGTGTATTATATATGTACTCATGTTGAATAAAAAGTGTCTATACAGTAGATATGTTAATTATAATTTGAGCAAAATTGTTTTCGTTATTTTTCTGATAAATTTTTTTGATAATTTCTGATCATGTATCAGATAAAAAATTAAAACATATTCATTTTATTCTTTACACTCGTGTTTTTTTAAACGTAATAAATTCAGATGATATTTTAGTTTTTCTACATTTTCTAATAAAATCCATATCTAATAATTTCTTTATATGCGTATTTAATATTTTTATTAATATGTCTAATGCATATTATGTTTTAAGTATATATATCATGCAATTGTTTTTAATGTAAATAATATAAATTAATAAGTTATTAATATTTTTTTTTAGGTTTAGTCAAACCTCAACCAACAAGTTCAGGTTCTAAACGTACTTTAATGCCAAATATTATGGGCCAAACTCCACCACCACCATCTCCTGGTGGTCGATCATTTGCTGCTGCTTTGAGAAATTTAGCTAAACAAGCAGGACCCCCTTCTACTCATTCTAATGGTAAAACATTTAACATTAAAAGTCAAAACATACAATTAATTTTAATCTAATAATATAGATAAAGAAGGAATTGAATCACAAGACCGTCTACAACAAGAATCGTTAAAAAGTCGCATCACACTTCCAGCTTGTAATAAATCACAACCTGACAATGTAAGTGTTATAAAAAAATATTTCATAAAATGTAATTGTTTGGTTGTAAGTTATTCTTATTTTATTACATATGTATTAAATTATTATTATTTATGAACTATAATTTATAATATTGGTGAGATATTTCAAAAGAATAGTGAAAAATATATATAAGATTATTGATAGGTGTTTTTTCAAAATTTTTTATTACTAGGAATCAAAACCAGCTGGTTTAAATACTGAACCTCGTAGTGGATTTCAACCTTATAAGCCAGATGAACAAAGAACTATGGTGCCTTCATCAGCATCTGCTCCTCCTCATTTTGCAGTTGATCCTGCTTCATATTCTCCTTATCATCCTGCAAATCTTTATTCTCCACACTTTCAACATGCCTTTAGGTAAGTTGTAGTTTGTATTTATAAAGTTGTGTTTACTAATTTGTCTTATTTTTAATATATTAGGATTGAAGAACAAATGTATCTTGAAAGATGTGGAGTGCCTTTATTTCCTCATTCTCCCTATCATTCTCATACTACCCCTCATCCTTCAGCTCTTTATGGACTTCACCATTTGCAGTCACCATTAGTTATGTCACCAAATATAGTAGATAGAATGAAAATGGAAGAAGATCGACTTCAAAGAGATAGAGATATGCAAGAGCGAGAAAAAAGAGATAAAGCAAAGCAACAACAGAGAATTAAAAATGTACATACATTGGCAGCTGACCTTTCAGGTAAAAATTTAATTTATTTTAAAAATTATTTTATATTGTAAACTATACACCATTACAATTTGTTCTAGCTAGGAAGGCGTCATTAATGTCAATTGAAAGTCATACAAATAAACCTCAATTTGTATGTCCTTTTGAGGACATCAAATCGCCAGATTCATCAAAAATAATAAAGCAACAGTTACCAAAATCAAACCACCAATGTAATCATGGGATATTCAGTTATATCATTATACCAAAATACTCTTCACTTATCGATGTTTTCACTTAAACTTCATACATTTATATCCTTCTTAATAATTTTTCAATGATTATTTGTCAAAAAAATTAACCTTAACATATTTGGAGCATTGGTATTAATAAGAAATTACATAATAATCTTCAATCAACAGCAGTGGATAAGACAAAATTATTTATTCTTAATGTGCCAGAAGTAACTAGTTGATGATCAGGTACTGTTAAATTGATTGTTTTAAATAATTCATTTTCATTCATAACTTCTATAAGTATTAATTACAAATTTAAAATTTTAATAATATCATATTAATGAAAAATTATAGATGTCTACCAATTACTTTTAGATTGTCAAAAAATATTTTGATAAAAGGTTTTTCTGACAGGATTGTAGTTCTTAAATGTAGTTACTTAAATAAAATATGATTTTTGTCTTTACTATAATATTTGCCATAAGTCCATTTATTTGTTAAAAATTTGTTAAAATTTGTTAAAAAATTTCTTTATAATAATTAATTTAGACAGCTTTTTTTGTTATGATGATCACACTTGGGTTTCTCAAAACTAGTTGCTGTACTGGTTTCATTGCTCTCAATAAATTAAGCAAAGATTTAATTTCTTGGTTATAAATTATTAAAAATTTATTTGAAATAACAGATTTAAAAATTCAGCTATATTTATTTAGTGGTTTTTATTTATTGCTTCCACTTCAAAATACTTCCAGTTAAAATAATTTTAAGAGAACACAATGAATATTTTTAATGTAGGTATTATACAACAACGTATTAATAATATATACTGAATGAGAGTATTCCCAAGAGAAATCTAGAATTATATTTTGTTTTTAATCCTACCTTCGATTTGAGAAACAACGTAAGTCCATAAAAGGTAATTCAAAGAAAACGATAAAAATCTGTTTTCGGGCTACCTGTGATACATGGTAGATAAATTATTTATAATTATAATATATATAATAATTTATAATTATGCCATCATCTTACAATTGCATTTTTTTCAAATGTTGGTACATAATGTGTCTATCATTTATTAACACATCTACTGTATTAACTCAATTTTTGACATTTATTGGAATTAATTCTTTCAAATAAGTGGTTCAATTATTCATTTTTCAAAAAATTTATTTCTGGAGAGCTAAGTGCAAATAAAAAAAGGAAAAATATAAGATCTATGATGAAAGACTTTTACATGTTGTATAGAAATTCAACGAAATGACAACTCATTAGTATTTAAGAGGAATTGCTAACAATCTCAAATTTTAAAGCTGTAAGAAGTGTGAGATAATTTTAAACTTATAATAATCATTCAAAATTAAAATATTTTTTGCGGAGATATTTTGATGAATCGCCTTATTTGCTAACTATTTTATTGTAAAATTAAAATAAATATAATTTTTATTTAAATAAATGCTTACATAAAAAGTTGTAATATATGTTTACTACAAATGTTTCAGATTTTGATGTTAAAAATAAAACTATAAATATTTGGTGCTTGAAGTTGACAAAGAAAAATATTAAGAAAAAAAACTAAAATAAGAAGAAAGAACTGAAAATGCTGAACTTAAATAAAATGGATATTAATCAAGAACATTATCATTCCCTTATACCTTTAACATTTTATAAAGCATTGTTTGTTTACGTCATTCATTTGTTACGTGTTAAAAAATATTTTTCAAATTACCATTTCAGTTATCCATTAACTCCATTGATTATTCAATTGCTCAATAAGAACCCTGTTTATTTTATTTTGTATTTTGGTGTTTGGCATTTGAAAAATCGAATGACATACAGCATATTATACCCCTATTTTTGATTTGTTTTACCAATTATTTAATTTTTTTTTTTTAATATTAGGAAATATTAACTTTAGGTACTATTTATAGTATCTATTAAATTTACTACTTATTTAAGAATTTAAGTAATATTATATGTATATATCTATACTGATATTTACTTATTTGTTAATTTTATACTATTGTGTTATGATTTACTAGGTACAATAATATTACCTAACATTCAAGTTACAAAGTACCATGTAACAATAATTATTTTTGTCATTTTTTTCTCTGTACATGCATTATAAGGTCACTAAGTGAGATCTAAGATATTGTTATGTGATATACTAATTTTAAGAATTTTTTTTTCTTGAATAATTGGTTACTAGCCATTTAAGAATTGTTGCTCAGTGATAAAGAGCTGTGGCACTTAAATTGCTGGCATACTCCCTTCCTTCCCCCATTTTATTTATATTTTATAATTTTTTTTTCTAACTATTATTTTTATTTATTATATATATTTATTTTGTATTATAAATAATAAGTAATATCTGACACAATATTGGTATTAGCCAATTAAATCCTGTGATCTTAAAGCCTGGTATACTAATCCCTTAGTTATTCTCAAATAATAATAAATAGTTCAATACTTTTAATTTAAATTATATTCTTCTAATAAATAGTTCCTACCTACCCAAATCTAAGCTATGTTTTTATGATAATGCTTTAAGTGTCCTGTTCCAGTATTATGTATTTTTTTTTCTACTGTAACTAATTAATGAACAAATTTTATTTTCTAAATTAATTTTGTTACCTTAAAACTAAGTAAATCATGTTCATTGATTTACATATTATGACTGAACGCCAAGGCACCATAATAAATAATATATACATAATATATAATAATATCCGCACTCACTCCTACTAGAATAATATTAATGATTTTAGTTAATATAACATTAAATGATTTATATATTGATCTTTTTTATTGCTTAAAATTATTTTGTAAATAAATTATTGAATAAAAAATATGAAAAAAATGATAATGAAATAATAGTGTTATATTTATTCAGTTTTGTATTTTTGTGGTAAATTTGTAGGCAGAAACATGAGACACCAAAATGATGTCCAGACAGGCAATAACAGCAATACACTAATTGAGAATGCCCAATTGCCATAAACCAAGTTATCAACAGTTGACAATGCCATCCATTGACCAGATGCCTCAATCACTTTTGTCAAGTAATCAACGATTTGTAATTCAGGGTAGGCCATATAAGTGATAATTGCAGTTATCCATATAAGTGAGCACATTGGATGCACAAGTAACCAAAGAAATTTTACTCCAATTCTGAAATATAGATCAAATAATATAGATTAATATTATACATTTTGATACAAGACCATGATACTAAACATACTTGTTTTGACTAGAACTAGTAAAAATTGCTGGTAAAACGTACACTAGAGCTGTTAAATATCCAAGAGAAAAATTATGCATTGAGACACATAATAATCCAATTCCTAATTCTAGTAAACAAATCACATGTAACAATACCCAATTTGACACTTTGAAAGAATTTAGACATCTAAACAATAAATGCATTCAACTGTAAATTGCAATTATTAATTAATTTTAATATCACCAACTTTTTCATTAATATTGGCATTATACAAACAATGATGAAAGATAATAAACCATAACCCATTAATAATGCACGGTGTGTTGATATATGATCCCAAAAGTATGTAAAATATGCTGGTGCAAAATTAGGCAACAAAATCAATCCTAAAACGTGAGTGCCCAAAGTTATTAAACTGACAACTCCAACATTTAAATGCTCAGAAATCTGCAAATATAGTGTATCAAGTTAGGAGTTAATTGTATTTAATACTTTTTCAATGGTATTAATACAGTAGCTTGTTTTGATAGTGAATCACCCAATTTATGTTCAGAAGAATGTTGAATCCATGTTGAAAAAGCTTTCAAAAACAGAGCACCAACAAGCAATACCAAACAAGGCATGTATAGACCTATAAAATATTTCAAAATTAACATTTAATTCAATTTTTTTGGTTTATCGATTTTACCAATAGAAACATATCTATCCGTTGAAGGTAAAAGATAAAAGAAAAATGACTGATGAAATCGTTCTAATAGATTGTTCAAACTACGAAACATTCCTTCAATAACTCTAAATAAAAACAAAATAAAGTTAAAAAAAAATTCAAATTTTAACTTATAAAAGCACATTGTACCTTCCTACTTGAAGTACGCTAACATAAATGCCACGGCCTTTTTTTTCATACCCTTCTAAAGTTATTGCTTCAATACCAAATCTAAAACAATTTTGTGATCAATTACAATAGTAATAACAATTGGTTTTGGTAAAATTTTACCTATGAAAAAGACCATGATTACCATCAGGTACTCCAGTAGCTTGTGTCATTACCATCGACAACATCGTACTCAAATTTGTATAGTAAGTGTTAACTTTATTTCGACCAATAGCCTATAAAAGTATTTATTTAAAAAAACATAATAAATGAATAACATTGTAATAATAATACAAAAAAATATTTTATTCAAATTTAATACACATACTCCTCCATCAACATTGTTAAATGTGTGTCTAACAGATTCTTTGTTGCATAATCGATGAGCCAAATTCACCAAATCTAAATTAGGCAGTTGTCCATTTAAACCAGACAATTTTATATCAATATGATCAATTTTTTCAGAATGAATTTCTAAGTTGATGGCAGCTTGAATAGCACCTGCACGGCCACTTAATTTTCCAGAATCTAACACACCTGTATTAGTGGTATATAATTATATTCATATAATATATCTAACACACATAAATAAGACTGAAAAACTTAAAAATATTATTACCAGGTGAACCACAGCAAGTTCCATGGTATGCCTCTAACCAAGCTTGCATTCCAAGTTGTTCATGTTCAGTTACCAGAAATATGATATCTTTTGCCCAGTACATTTGTTCTTTAGAAAATAAATAAAATATTGATTTTTTTTTTAAAAAAAGTTTATTTTATGTCATAATATATAGTGTGTTGAATTTTAATGAATGTGATTGTTGATTAGTATGTAAATTACGTACGACGAAAGAATTGAGCGATCTGAAACATTACAGCAAGCCCAGGTAAAGTATTAGGAAAAACACTTGATGGCGCTCTATATGGTATACTTAAAACTATTGATTCTATGCTTGCACTTCTTGGTGCTCGAAGAATGCCATAAACATTACGCCCAGTGTATTTCTATATAAATTAAATACAATATAATTCATGTTAAACATGTATGTGAAATTTGATTTCAAAATTTATTTCTGAATGAATATAATTGTAAATTATATATTATATATTATTTTTCTTACTGTATTTTTTTTCAAAGGATAATTCAAAGTAAAATTATGGGAATATGTTTCCAATCTTAGGTTTTTGAATTTTGAGATCAGGTATGAATGTGGTGTTTCAGTTTCAAAATATTGTGCTTCTGCTTTAAGTTCTCTATAATGGTCTTTAAAAGATGATCCAGTGTTATCATTCAATTGGCCTTTGACCAATCCAGGAAGAAGAGCATTTTCAGAAAAATATGTTTCTAAAAAATAAAATAGAAAATTATCATTTCAATAAAATTACAAGCTCTGATTAATTATAAAACTAATTACTCACGAGAGCTAAAACTGTCATGTGCCAACATACAGAATAACACAACAGATGCAATATACATTAGTATACAAAAACGATTATGATGTCGAACAAATATGCTAGTTAAAGCACCATGACCAACTGATGGATCAGTCAATAAACCCATTTCGGTAAGTTAATTTTATGACTTACAACACTTAAGAAATAATTCAATAACTGTGTAGAGTATAATGTTTAACAAATAAAATAATTTATCCACAATATTAAATTTTTAAAAATGCATTCCCTTTTCATTTTTCACTGGCAACTCAATAAACCAATGAAATAAAAATAAAATGCATTAAAAAAATTAATCTCAACAGATAGGACCAAAATTTAATAATTACAATTTTCAAACTTCGCTAAGTTTTTGAAATCAGTCAAACAGTTGCTTACCAAACTGTCAATGATAAATAATGAAATTGATAATTATTTATTAGAAAAAGATAAGAAAAAAAAGATAATTTTTAACGTATGGTAATAAAGATCTTTGTAACCACAGTTTTCATCTATGTCAACCGTGTTCATATCCATGGTTAAAAATACAGAATAGATAAAAATGTAGTAAAAAATATACTACATAAGACTTGATGTAAATTATATAAAAATATTAGTTATAATACATAATTACATATCCATGCTTAAAATCATAAAATTAAAATTGCACATTATTACAATTAATATATAAATATGGATAACTAATGTGCAACGCAAGCTATAGAGATAAGTTTCAATCTTAATTCGTGATCATGAGATATTTTCTGTTATCATTTTAAATGGCCATCCTGATTCGCTGATTTCGTTCTGAGTCTGTTTATCTTAATAGGTTGTCATTTTTCGAAAGTTTCCCTCCAAACACTAAAAAAGATAAAGTTGGCCAAAAAGCTGTTTGAAATTTCCAACCATCGATTCGTTAGTTTCCAGGCTATTACAGTTCCTCATTCTTTCTGCTCTCATATCTCTTGCGTTTCGGATAGTTTAATAATTGTTCGCCGTTTATCGATTTTTGACGGGAACAACGATAACTTTTCGTACCTTTTACACCCAATTCCAACGAATAAATAAAAATAATTGTAAGACATTACATGCTATAGTAAGTACCTAACGACTTTTTGTATTTTTGCCTTTTATTATTTTTGGTATCCATCATAACAAAAAATTATATAATTTTAGTTTCCAGTATTTTATTGCTGTATTTAGTACATACCTTTTATACTTTTAATTTTATTCAATATGGAAGGTGAACACTCAAACACAATTGAGTAAGTATTCTTATTAGTTAGAAAATAATCTTAAAAAATTATCACCAAATTAAATTTAAATTTCTTTGGATCATTGATCTAAATTACCAAATATATTTAATTCAAAATTTGAACTATATTTCAAATTATTTTATATTAATTATATTATGTTTTCTTGTTTTTATTATAAATTTATTATTTTAGAAATCCTAACCAATGTGCTACGATTCTTTGTGTTCAATATCTTTTAACAAATCATATGAAGAGTAAACATCCCATAAAAAGAGATGATTTGATGAAAACTGTCTTCAAAGGTCGTGTTACAGGAAGGAATTTTGAAAATGTTATGAATGATGTGGATAATACTTTAAAAAATGTACTTTAAAAGTATTATTTTATTCTATAATGTTGTTCCATAATATTGATAAAGAGTTATTTTTAGGTCTTCGGTTTTTCTATATTATTTCTTAACAATGAAAAAAAAAAATTATTCAAGCAATTTATAATTGTGAATACTATTGAAGAATTTAAAATTCCTGGAATTTGTTATAGTTTTTCTCAGTTATCAAAATATCGTATTTTACTTAAGCCTATTCTTGGTGCTTTGATTATGCTTCGTATGCCAATTAGTGAAGGTATTTTATTAAAATTATTTCAACTATTAAACATTTTCTATTTCATAAGTAAATTATATAATATAGTTTCTGTCTATAATAAAATATAATTATTTATTTTCTTATAACTTTTTTTAGGCCAAATGTGGAATATATTGGAACAATTTTCAATAAAATTAAATTTAGACATGGACTATATCAAGACTATGGTTAAAGGAGTAAGAAAACAATATTTATATACCATACATAAATTTTACTTAAACTATTTATTTATCTATTTAAAAATTCGGTCAATTTTAGCTATTCAAAATTATTTTTTGTCTATCATCTTCACTTATAGTTTTGTAAATTTTTTAAAAATTATTTAATTATAAAATTGAATTTAAATTAAAGTGTTATCATTTTTCTAATCTTATTTATAAAATAAAATATTTTTGTTTTTTATATTATTTATCACCATCATTTTATATTATATAAATATAATTATATTGAAATTGTCAGCGTTTTTATATTCCTGTAAATTTAAAAAAGTGTGTTATTAATGTAATTATGTAAATGCATGTACATTTCATATATTTTTAGTGAATAAACTTCAAAGCTGATAAGAATTTAATTTAGAAGTATTATAAATTATAATTTATAAGTCTGAATACTTTTTTTTTTCAGCATTTTGTAAAAGAACAGTATCTTGAATGTAAAGAAACTGATGATACTACTATAAGGTTTGATCCAGAAAGAACAAGTTATTGGTTTACAATGGGACCCAGAGCATTAGAAGAATGTGACCAGTTAATGGTATTAAAGAAAATTGCAAAAGTAAGTATTAACATTATACATAATAGTTAATGATTAGTATTATGTAAAAATATCATTAAAAAAATAATTTGTGTAGGTGTATTATGTGTGCTACTTAATATTGATGACTAATAAAGGATTTACTATAAATCCCAGATAGAGTGGTAATGAAATACTTTTTCATTTGTTAAAAAATACAAAAAGAAATGTCCTGAAAAATCTAAATTTACATATATAATATATTAAAAAATTATTAGACAACACTTTTCAACAACTTTCTTTGAGATTCCTTTTTAAAATGGGATTATGATCTATTTTAAGGAAAATAGAAAGATTAGATCATCAGTTAAGTCAGAAAATAAATCTATTCTTTGGTTCAATTGTCATAGAATTTTCTGTTTTGCATGATGTATTTCATAATATTTATTATTAATTTTCACTTAATGTCCATGTGATCAAATCAAATGGCCTGTGCATTTATTAATTCGTTATGTTAATATTTTCAAATTTTATTTATTTCTGTTTTTTAGGAATAAATTGTTGAGTTCTTATTTTAAACTAAAGATTTATTACAAATTTTATATACTTAAGATAAAATGGCTTGAATTTGCTGGAATTGTATAGGATTGTGAAGCCATATACAATAACTTATTTTACCAAATTAAATATAATTGTAAGTTGGATAAAATTTAACTTTAAATATTTTTATTCAGTTTTTTTTTTTTTTTTTTCAAAAAACTATTGAATAAATCAAAACGTTTGAAGTACCATCATTTATTTCCAAATAAAAAAATTATTACATAAAATATTTGGTATAGATTTACTATCCAATATTCTTTAGGGAATCTACAAATTATCAAATTAATAGATTACTTAAAATTCAAAAATTTTTTAAAGCATAATTTTTATTTAAGAATACTTTAAAAGCAAGTCAAAGCAAGTCAAGTCCCTTATTAAGTAACTGTAATAGGTATAACTAAGAATGAAATATAATAATTCATCATATGAAGTGATAAGCATCTTTTATTTTTTAATTAGCAAATTACAAATAAAATAATTGCAAATTAATTACTTTTAGTTCTACTAAAATGTTATGATTTTGAAATCTGAGAACAAATTATAATTTGTCTATAACCGTATTTATCTATACGTTTTTTAAAAAAAACTATTTTATTTTTATACTTTAGAGTATTAAATTCAAGAGGTGTTGAAGACTCCTCTAGAAATATATTTATATCACACAATAATAGAAACTATAGGTGATTTTTTTTTCTTTTGTAGTTTTTCACAATTCACATTTATATATAAAAGTTTTCTGATCGGTTAATTGTAAATAAAATAGTAAAAACCACATTTTCAGAATACTTTTGTGTAAAAATAGTTAATGCAAAATTATATTAAAAGAATATTTATTATTTATTTATTTATTTATTTATTTATTTTAATTGATGAAGCCACAACTACAATGGTTATTGGCTTTTTAATCTAAAGTTATATTTACATATTGAAGGGAGTTACAACTGAATACATAAAGAGTTATATTAAATTAAATTTTACATTTTTGTTAATTTTAAAAATTTAAAAATTTTGTAAACATTTTCTGGGTCTGGACTTAGTGCTTGCTGGAGGTTGTCGGATATTTCTAGACTGCCCTTGATGTCTCTGTATTTTAGGCAGTTGCAAATTACATGTTTGACTGTGAGAGTTACTCCACAGGTGGGGCATAGGGCAGGATCCGTTCTGTTCATGAGGTGTCCGTGGGTCAACCATGTGTGGCCAATTCTTAATCTGTTGAGGATTACTTCCTGCCTACGAGGTAAAGATGTAACTGGCCATGGATATATTGAGGGTGTTATCTCATTAAGTTTAGTGTGCATTATTTGCCATATCTGTTGCCATTGATTTGTTATAAATTTGTTAATTATGTTTTTGCTGTCTTGTAGGGTATGAATATTAATTTGATGTGCATCAGGAGAGGTAATGGCTTGTTTGGCGTATGTGTCTGCTAATTCATTTCCTTGGATTCCAACGTGGCTTGGGATCCAAATCATAGTGATTGATTGAGATTGGAGTTCTAAAGACGATATTTGGTTTTGAATCTTTCTGCTAATGTCGTTAGGTTAAAGATAGTTTTGGATGTTGGTTAAGGTGCTTACAGAGTCACTGAGTATGATGGATTTAGTTATTTTATTTTGTTTAATAATATCGAGTGAATGAGAAATTGCGATGGCTTCAGCGGAAGAAATTGTACATGAGTTATATGAGGAATCTTGATCATTATTTTATTCTCTTTGTATATCACAGAGGCTCCTACTCCGTCCGTTTTTGACCCATCTGTGAAAAAAATTGTGTATTCTTTGTAGTCTTCGAGCAATGATTGCAGTTCACTGTTATACGTTTTTGGTAGAGTTTTGCTTTTGGGTAAGTTTGATATTGAAAGATTTACATCTATGTTTAAGATCCATGGGGGGACTATGAGGTTTTCGTGTTTAATGACCCCGTATGGGTCGATGGATATATGTAGAAGTTCGTCTTTGATGATTCGGTGTGTCTTGAGATTATTTTGGATTAGCCTTATATAAAAGAGCATAGTATTTTTTTTCTTATTAGGTGTATTGGAGGGGTATTGGTGATGTTATATAAGCTGGAGGTAGAACTGGATCTGAATGCTCCAGAAACTAGCCTTAATCCGGAATTGTGTATCGTTTCAATCGTTTTGAGATATGATGGTTTGGCATTTATGAATAGGAAGGAACCGTATTCGAGCTTGGATAGTATGATGGATTTGTAAATCTGTTTGAGGGAAAGTGAGTTAGCTCCCCAAGAGGTATGTGTAAGTGCCTTGAGGGTGTTAATTCTTATAGCGGACACTTTTCGTAATTCTCTTAGGTGTGTGCACCAAGTATTTTTGCTATCGAATATGATGCCTAAAATCTTGATAGTCTTAGAGGTTGCGATTTGAAGATCATTTATTTTGATTTGCAGTGTCTGGTATTTTCTGAGTTGAGAGAAGATGATGCACTATGATTTTGTGGCGGAAAAGCGATAGCCAGAAGTAGCCGACCATTTTTCTAGTGAAGATAATGTGTCTTGTAATATTGGTTGTATGCTATTTGTATTTCTCCCTCGGCACCATATAGTTAGGTCGTCGACAAAAACAGTATGGTTTACGGGGAGTTTGATTGATTCACTTACGTCATTAATGGCTATGAGGAAAAGGGTGACAGAGAAGGTGGATCCTTGAGGGACGCCGTTTTCTTGTTTGAGGGTTAAGGAGAGGTGGCCATCGGTTTTGACCTGAAAAGTTCTGTCTGACAAGAAGTGTTTGATAAAATTGAGCATATTTCCGTGACAAAGTATCTTATGTAGTTTTTCTATTATTCGTGGGCGCCATGTGGTGTCATATGCTTTGGCAATGTCAAGGGCAACTAGTCCTAGAACTTGTCTGGCTTCGAATGTTTTTTTTATATCCTCCTGTATGTCATGTAAACTATTATATGTGCTTCTATGTTTGAGAAAACCATTTTGTTGGGAGGAAGGTAGTTAGTTTTTTCGAGAACCCATCTCAGTCGTATGTCGATGATTTTTTCTAGGATTTTACACATTGTATTTAATAACGATATTGGTCTGTATCCTTCAGTTGAGAATTTGTCCTTTCCTGGTTTTAGGATAGGTATTACGAAAGAGTGTTTCCACTTTTTGGGAAATTGTCCTCTTTCCCAAATTTTGTTATATAAGTGAAGTAAGAATTGTGTTGCGGACGTCGGAAAGTTATGTATGAAGCTGTATTTATTATTAATTAATATAATAAGATATAGTTACAACATTGAGTAATAATTATAATAACTATGGATATTGTGGAGTTCGTTGAAGTTTGAGGATGACAAACCTATATGATCGCTTACCAGGCGCGTACACAAAAAAATATTTGGGGGAAAGCGGGTTTGTACATTTTTATACTTATATAATCTTTATACCACTTTTACTCTATAAAAACATATTTAATAATTTCCCTGAATTTCGGTGGGAAGGGAATTAAACCCCTTAATCCTCCTTTCTGTACGTTACTGCCACAATTCTTTTCTCGCAATGCTGCTATTTTAGTTAGCATAATATCCAATTATAATTGTAATTTAAACTAAAAATTATCTATTGACATTTTACCTTAAGAAATAAATTGTTTCAAATATGTATCTTAAAATTTATAATTATGTATGATTCGCTAAATTTTTATAATTTCCGATTTCATGTGATTAGGAATGTCGTTGCCTAATAAATAAATTTGGAAACCGTAACAACATAATATTACCAATTACATGAAATTGGCAAAACCTTAAATTAATTAAATAATGCATTTTCTTATGTATAAATTGAATTAAATAATTATTTAATTAATGAAAATAAAATATTTAATTATGTAACCCTTAACACTTTTTCTATTATGAAATCACTGAGCTAGTATTGTCTTTCTCTGTCTTGGGTTTTTATCGGTGGTTTACTCAGACAACTCTTGAAAAAAAAAATCACTCTATAACATAGAATTTTTTTTTTTTTTTTTATTAGCATATTATTTAAAAAGTATGATTATTAATTTAAAATAAATCATTCAAATATAAAAAAAAAGTGAAAAACGAACACAAAAATTACAATAGTGAAATTAAAATTACATCAAATAATATCTAATAACATTAAATTCATAACATTTTCTAAATTTGTGTGAACAATTGAGCTGATAATGTCGCAGTTGCTGATTATCATAGTTGTAAACCATGCAATGTAGGTACCTAAATATTTTGCAAGATTTCATACCATGAAAATAATTTTTATCATTCTTAAATCTTAACTTTGATTGAAAATAATTTAATAGATAAGTTGAAATCAAAGACACGCATACATATTACTCTATAGTCCATACTATCTCAATACGAGCGTTAATTAAAATTTTTCTCAGTAATAACAATTCCAAACTAATATAACATTTATTTGTAACATGCAATTTATACATTCTGCAGAAAAAAAGTCTTCCTTAATCATAAAATCGGTAAATTTAATTTAGCCAATTTTACGAATTTGACATAACATATATATGTAAATGTAATCATTTAAAAAATGTATTTTATTTTTAACCTAATAATATTGTTATTTCAATTGTATTTTTATTGTATTTTTTATTCATTATTTTTTACAGTTGTACAATATGCCTGCCCAATCATTCAAGCGTGTATATGCTGAGCTTAATAAGTAATATTTAATTTTGATTACGTTGTGTTAAGAACTTGAATTTTGTGTTAATATTGATAATGCCATATTTATAATTATAGATATATGACTTATTAGTTTCAAAAAAAGAGAAATATACTTTTAATTGTATATTCATGTAACTGTTTAAATTTTAAAAAATATATATATCATTTATTTTAAACCTGCTTTAAAAATAAAACGTATTTAGTCAACTTACCATCATCAACTAACCATATTATTTATTTACAATGGGTCAATAGAGCATGTCATTAACTATTGAGTTATGGATGACTGATTATAGTTCTATTATAAATAAAAATTCAAGGAATTTATTCCAATAATGAAAAACAGATAGGTACAATAGATCAAGTTGTATGAAAACAAATTAAGGGCAACAATTTAATTAGCGTTTAGCTTCTTGACCCTAATATTCTGTATATTATAGCCCTTTCTCTTTCTTCATCCAAATAAAATTAGGTTTTATCCTTCTATTTTGTATATAATTACCATGTTGCTGAACTGTGAAGACTCCATTGCATCACGGTCCAGAGATTTCATGACTGACGTATTCATACGTTATTCGGTTAGTATTAAAACATAGTTACAAGTGAACAGTATTCTTTGTTTTATGTCTATCATATAGACTTTTAAATGTTTACTAACGCAAAAAAAAGCGAATTTGCCTATGCAATTGAACCAGAAGCAGCTGTATACCAAATACACGATCGCAGAGGTTAGTAAAATATATTTATTTTATAACTTAATACAAT